TGACTCCAGAGCCTTGTCCTAAACCTTCGCCTAATAGATGGGACCAATGAGCAACCATTTGTCTTTGTGCCACGGCATCCATGTTGTGTCACAACGTGATGCATCGCAGTGCACCCAAACACACACCACGCTTGCGATGACAGAGTACTGCACTCTGCTATCAGGACGTAGGATAAGTGGATGATTCAGCCCAGCTAAGATTAGCCTTTGATCGACCATCTAATTGCGTTTCAATAACCCCAATGCTTTTGCCTCTATTACCTTCCTTGAAATGGAGAAGGAACACACACACATTTGTCTCTGCCCGCAGAATATACTGGGTGGAAGAAGCTAGGAGGCTGTGGTTTGCAGGGCTATTGGTGTGAAGATTCACAATCCCAGTCTCATGGCTACAGCACTGCAAGTCACACTGAAAAGCTAGGCTTGGAGTACAGTGGAGTAGCCTTGATTTACGTATCAAATCAGCTAAGCCATAGTCCGAGCTTTGCTCCACCTTTTACTAGGTGAAGGCAGCTGAGGAGAAAACCTGTTCACTTCCTAGCCACCCACCTCACCAACAAAGACCTTTGTTGATTTTACTTTTTTTGGCAGCTGTGAATGTCACATATGTATGTAACCTACAAATAGAAATGACTTGTATCTGGAATGGAATATTTGTTAGGTTAGGGTATCAAGGGATATGGATATGGGGCAAGGGCAGCTAATTGGAGTTGAGGCACATATCAGCCATGATCTTATAGAATGCAGGAACAAGCTCAAGGGGATGAATGTCCTACTCCTGTTTCTATGGAACGTGCACTCTTTCCCTAGAGGGAAGCACCCTATTTACCTGCTTCCGGAGAGTATCAGGCGCATGACGGCGAGAGCCAAGGCTCCTAAAGTGCGCATAACTGTTGGAATCTAACCAGCTTTGGATTGCAGGAATAATAGGAGGCAAGTGTGAAGAGTCCCTGCCCTCAGCGACTGGTCTGCCTTTCAAGTCCTACAGATGAGCCAGGCTGGTTGCGCTGTCATCAGCAGTGCACTGGAATACTGCGGACCCACCTGTCTTATGAACCAGACTGGAGAATGCTAATAGTGGGTTGATTTGACATTCTATTGCCAAGCAAGTCACCCTGGAGCCAGCTCAACCTCAGGGAAACAACCATTTGCAGTTTTATAGTGCTCTCGGAGGGGTAGCGTGGGATAGCATTTCAGAGGGGAGACCCTACAAAAATCCCCTTTCCCTTTCTCCCCAGAAGATTGTTATAAGTTGGTCATTTGACAGGTGACAAGCACAGGTTTGAGCCCTCACTAGGAGGATATAATAATCCTAACAACTGACAATATGGAGTTCTGTAGCATATTGGTTAGAGCACTCGCCTCGCAAGCGAGAGGAACCTGCGTTCAAATTGTCGGGAAGGACAAAATGTTAGGCAAGTTTTCTTAGTCCACACGCCTCTGTTTACCTTGCAGTAAGTAGCAGCTGTTAGTCAATTAGCGGATCACTTTTTTGGGGGTAATAATCCCTTAAAAAAAAATTGGTCACCCAATCCACAACTGTTTGTGAGACACTGCTGTGTGCAATTGCCTCCCGCGTTTCACCCACAAAATATACAGTTAAGTCACTTTACAGTATATTTTGTAAATATGAGACGTCACAATTTGAGACGTCTCAATTATGTGACCAAATGCAAGGATTATTATTATATCGCGCCTATTACGTTGGGAGAACGTGGCAGGCACACAAACAGCCATGACGTGAATGAACGATTTTATTTTGCGATTGTTTGCCTTGATCTCGGAAGAAGTTTCCTTCTCTTTATCGAAAGGGACCTTTAACGTCCACATGAACAGGCAGTTTAACATTGCTGTCCAATGGACAGCACCTCCAACAATGCAGCAAATCCAATGAACACTGTGTTGGAATATCAGGCAGGAGCATATGAGTTCCAAGTCCCATTGTAGCATATTAGGTAACAGAAACCCCTTGTGAGATTCCCCGTGAGCAGCATAGCTCAATATGAACTGCTACCATCTTTTGGCCCACAGTTTGGAAACATGTCTCTATCCACTGAGCGATGGTTCTATCAATTGGAGTCATAGAGATTGAGTAGCAGCTGCTTAAGTCTCTGCAAACTAATCTAGGAATATTCCAAGCCCTGGATATATGAACAGCCATGAAGTGAATGACCAATTTTCACAAACCCAGACTCCAGGTAACAGCTTCCAGCATCTGTCATCCTAAGCCTCAGAATTTCCTAATCAGCTATCTGACAGATCTGCTTTATTTAACATTGAAAAACAACTGTAAATTTTCACCCAGATTTTTAAATTTTAAGTAGCTGTTGAGGCAGTCTGCCAGTTTTGTGGTTGGGAAACATTTTTAAGCCTCAGTTTAGATTCAAGCAATCCCAGATCTACAGATTTAAAATGACAACTCTCCAGCAATCCTAGAAGTATTGGAAACATTTTCCCCAGAGCACTGGAGATGTAGAATGAGTTGCCAATACGAGCAGTAGATTAGTCAAGTAATATCCTTGAAAAAGCTTGAGAAGCCAAACAAATATAATTAATAATATTACTAATAATTGCATTGGTTATAGCCACTTTCATGTTGGAACATCATCTCAAAGTACTTAACAGGATTTACTACTAGATTATTTTGTAGGCTAACCCAGCAGCCATTTTGTACATAGCAACATCCCACAAACAGCCAATAAAGTGAATGATCAATCTTTATCTGGGGTATTGTTGGCCAGGACACCAGGAGAAATTCCCTTCTCTTTTCAAATGGTGCAATGGGATCTTTAATGACCAGCAGAACAGAGAAACAGATCCTTGGTTTAATGTCTCAACTGAAGAATGGCACCTTCAACAATACAGGACACCCCCAGCAATGCATCGAAATGTTAGCCTGGACTTTGTGCTTGAACCCACAACCTTCTGACCCAGAGGTGAGGCTACTATCAACTGACCCAGGTAGACAAAAGGCAGGAAAGTAAATTTGATATTGCGCCATATCACGTTGTTGAGACGGCTCAAAGTGCTTCGCAGGATATACTATAAAGTGAATTTATTGTATATTTTGTGGGCAAAACACGGCGCACAGCAATGCCCCCACAAAGAGTCATCGACTGAGTGACCAAATTATATCTTTTTTTGGAAGGGATTATTATCCTGGTAAGTAATCTGCCAATTGACTGACAACCGGGTTCCTACTTACTGCTAGGTAAACAGAGGCATGTGAAGTAAGGTTTCAACCAGCCTGGGAATCAAACCTGGGTCCTCTCGCTTGCGAGGCTAGTTCTCTAACCAATACTCTACAGGATTTCGAAGTACCCCGACACACTCTCTTCTTCCAACAAACAACTTTCTCTGTCGTATGTTATGTTGAATTAATTATAAAAATCTTTAAAAAAAAACTGATGTTGTTTTCCAGAGCTTCAGTGAATTTCAATCTGTTTTTTCTTCCCCAACTTTGCCGCAATGCTTTGGTAACTCAAGTAATTGTGCACCTGACGAGCCGGTCCTCAGGGGCTCGGGCGGTCTGTCACTCAGACTTACCTGCTATGGTTGAGGAGTTTAATCCATTCTCGGCTAGCCTGCTTTTTGATGGAATTAAACTTGGAAGGGAGGATTTCTTCACTGGTAAGTAAGATTTTGGGGTAAAAAAACAAGCTTGACTTTTACAAGATATTATAAAGCAGCAGCATGGGCATTTACAAAGTAAGACTCCCCCACCCCCTCGAAGGCTAGAAGAGGATTGCAATCAGTGATCTTGAAGACACCGAGTGAATATGACGAGTAATTCCGCAGGGATCCACCCCAACCCCTCCCTATCACAAAACCACCCAGCTCCACCAAATGCAAACGCACAACTGTCCAACACTTGGGACACACTCCTGACGTGAAAGGCGCTACATAAATGGAATCTGTTTGTTTGTTTGTTACATTTCAGGTTCAGGTATGTAATAACAATAATACTCCTTGCATTTTATAAAGCGCCTTATCACGTCTTCGAGACGTCTCAAAGGGCTTCACAGAATATATTGTAAAGTGTATTGACAGTATATTTTGTGCGCGAAACGTGGCAGCCAATTACTCACAGTGGTGTCCCACAAACAGTCATGGATTGAGTGACTAATTTTTTTTAGTTATTTTGAAAGAATTATTACTCCTGGAAAAGCAATCTTCCAATCGACTAACAACCGGGTTCCTACTTATTGCTAGGTAAACAGAGGCATGAGGAGTAAGGAAACTTGCCCATCGTTTCACCCTGCCCGGGAATCGAACCTGGGACCTCTCGCTTGCGAGGCAAATTCTCTAACCACAAAGCTACAGGACTCCTATAAAGAGTAATTTACACTCAGCCTGGCTCATTCATGAGACAGAAGGCTGTGGTTTCAAGTTGCTGATCAAGGCTTTAAATACTCCAGTACAGTGCTGGATGAGCACCACATTGTCAAAGGTGCAGTCCTTCGGATTGAACATTAAACCACGGTCCCATCTGCTTATTCACGTGGATGTTAAAGATTCCCATGGAACTATTTGAAAAAGAAGGGTGTCCTGGCCAGAATGCTGTATGTAAAATTGGTCATTAATTTCATTGCTGTGTACAGAGTGGGTGCCGCATTTGACCCAGTTGTTAATTGATTAGCGAATTGGTTTCCCGGGGTAATAAGCCCCCCCTCCCCCACACACACCCGTCCAAAAAAAAACACATTTGGTCACTCATTCCATGACTGTTTGTGGACACTGCTGTGTGCAATTGGCTGCCACCAAACACACAGTCAATAGACTTTACAATATACCCTGTGAAGCGCTTTGAGACATCTCAACGATGTGATGAGGTGCTATATCAAATGCAAGGATTATTATTATTCTATTATTATAAGTGCTTTTTATTATTATACTCTTCCCTCTTCATTAATAGCACTTATAATAATAATATAATAACTTCTTTAATAGCACTTATAATAATATAATAACTCAGGCAGGTTTTGAGTAAGTATCCATACCAGTCTCTGAGAGGAGCTTTGTGGATTCCATCACTTTCTCGGTGTACACTCCAGGCTCGTAATTCTCCATTTCGGCGCTGATGATGTGAATGACTCGGGCGGCACGGCCTCGGATGGCTCCGGCGGTGCGATCCAAGGTGTCCACGTCCCCCTCCTGCAGCGCGATTACACACTTGTTCACGTCCTCCAGGATGTGATTCTCTGGGAGAATTGAACATCAATAAAGCAAAAGATTATAAAGAAAAGCGCTGCAGCATCAGAGTGGAGGAAAATAAGACACCTGATATTTTCACCAGTATAGCTATCACATCTACCAAAATATAGTCAATAACTGTTAGTAGTTTTCTCTCCTCGAGGGAGCGGGTGGGATTCACTTCCGAGACCATTGTTAACTTGACTTCTTTGAGTCCCTTTTTTGGTCGATGTGATTTATTTTTTGTTCGGCTGTGTGTCTGATACATGCAAAAACCCTGTAAAATCACTGTACTCAAGAATATCCAAACCAAACTAAGGTTTCCATGTGATAATTATTACTGTTTATTACACTGCATGTCACAATTTTCCCCCATAGTGTCACAGCAAAGCAACAAAGCATTCGGACTATCAAATCTGCACTTATAATTTATTTTCATGTGAGCCAATCTAATCTAATTAAAAGACCCACAGACATTATGGGTTTGAATGGATCTAATCCAATGCTTTTACTCCCCATTCCTTCTTAATTAATACCCCCATTGTAATGCGCTTCAATATAATGTGGGTTATTTTATAGCGTGGAGTGTGGGCCCCATTCACTGTGCTTGTATGAGGCTGGCCTGCTCACTTCTCACCCTATGCACCTACTGGTTATGTACCTACGCTGTGAATGCAGAAGCACTGACTGGCTGTTGTGGCCCATTATAATACAGGTTGGGATTCTGTGAAACCCCAATGCGCTTACAATGGGACTCCACTGTATGTATCTCCCTGTTAAACTTCCCAATGGATCCTGCCTCTACAGTCTTCTGTGTGCTGTCTTCACACGTACTTACAAATCAATCCATGCTCTAGCGCCTCCATAACTCTCTGATTTGCTTACACCCCACTCCACTACTGGCTGCCTGCACTCAGCTGGTAGCAGCCTTCTACGCATCCCTCAACCCCTCCGCTCTACCATCAGTGGCTGTGCTTTTAGTCACTACACCCCGAAACTCTGGAACTCTCTGCCTCAATCCCTCCGCCTTTGCCCTCTTTGTCTATCTTCAGATCGCAGCTGATGACCATCCTCTTCAACTATGCTTATGGTTATCTCCCCCATCTCCCCGGTTTGGAGTCAGGCTCCACCGCTGTTAAGTGCTCTGAGACGCTAACCCTATGATTGACACTACACAAATACAAGTTGTTGTTGTTGTTGCTGGTGGGTTCCACATTCTCACAATGAAGAAATGTTTCCTGATTTATTTTCTAACCTAGCTATAATGCTAAAAGAATGCCTTTCTGTTGATTTAATCCACTATCCAGTTTTTCTTAATTCCCATTATTGGTATCAATTAGCCCTGAACTCCAAGGGGGAGCTTCAGATTTCAGTAGTCACAAAGCAGCATATGGAGATTAATAACAGTAAGAAGATGCAAGTCCATTGGTGTTCCTCTGTGACACACAGTAAAGGGAATTATGCGAATCAATGCAGCTGGTGAAATAAACCACACAATAGCAACGCACTTTCCCACAGGCACTGTGCAATCAGAATGAACAATAGCCACACAAAATCCATGGGCACTTCAGAAAACTCCGGAAATAAAGGAAAAAAAATTGTTTACATGTGAAACATCTGCATTCTTTGCATTGTGTGTGTGTATGATACAGAGAAACTATTTCCTCTGGTGGGAGAATCCGGAACAAGGGGAATAACTTTTAGAGGTTATGAGCTCTAAATAATCTCTACGCCTAAATTAGAGCTCGGCCATTGAGGAGTGAAATCAGGAGGCAGTTTTTCACCCAAAGGGTAGTGGGAATCTGGAACTCTCTCCCCCAAAAGGCTGTGGATGCTGAATCCACATCTTCAAGACTGAGGTGGATAGATATTTGTTAGGTCAGGGTATTAAGGAATATGGGGCAAGGGCGGGTAATTGGATTTGAGGTACAGATCAGCCATGATCTTATAGCATGGTGGAACAGGTTCGAGGGGCTGAATAGCTTACTCCTGTTTCTTGTTCCTATGCGTGTGGGAACAAAGAAAAACTTGTCATGCCATTATACAACAGTGCCCAAGTAATAAATAGAAAAGGCTTTCATGTGGTTATGCATGAGAGAAAGGGAGACTTTCTTATCTGAAGAAATATTCTTCTTGCTCTCCAGGGAAGGCTGAGCAGACAGCAATCTGCTGCATTTTCTTTCATTCTTTCAACACTTTAGAACAGGCTCCTGTGGCTCGACCTATTTCTGCGCAATAATGTTTCCGTTTCATGAGCTGTTTAAGGTAGAATCCATATTGGTCTTTGAGAGGAAACTAGACAAGTTCCTTAAAAAGAGCTCAGGAGTAGGAGAAAAGTGCAGGTAAATGAGAGTGAAGGATTGCTCTTGAGGGAGTTCACTGGGGCAAGGAGTCATTCCACCCAGCTCCTGTTAACCCTGCAAGCCAAAGCCCTAATGAATAGGGTATTCCAAGCTGGACAAGCAGAGGGAAAGCTTGCCAGACAGCAATATCAATGGCAAGCTATGTGGTTATAGCAGGTTAGATTCCAGCAGTTACCCTAATGCACACTCTGGGGTTTTGCCAACCTCCGCCTAATACTTTCTGGAATTAGGTAACCAGGATGAGTCTCTCTGGGGAGAGAGTGCACATTCCATTTCAACAATCTATCCTGGGGATTACCCAGGTGGGTGGGATGCATGGAATTCTCAGTTTGGTTTGGATACCCTAAAGCATGCTGATGGGTTTCCACATGTCAGTCACCCGCTGAGCAAAACACAAACTGAAGGAGCTGGCACAGACATGATTGGCCGAATAGCCTTCTTCTGTGCTGTAAATGCCTAAGTCTCTGTTGCTTCAATGAAGAGGCTTCACAACCTACCAACCTGCCTGCTCCCTCCGCTCAGCGGGCTCCGGCCTGCTTCACGTCCCCCGTCTCACCCGCCCCACCATTGGTGGGCGGGCCTTAAGCCACTCTCCCCCACCCTCTGGAACTCTATCCTGCAGTCCCTCCACCTTGACCCCTCCCTTGCATCCTTCAAGATCCATCTCAAGACCCTCCTCTTCGACCGTGCCTCCAATCATCCTCATTCCCACCCTGCCCTTCACCCTCCCCAATCCTGACCTCCAGCTCAGATCCAAAACACTGATTGTCTAGTGTCTTGGTACGTCCTCCCGATGTGAAAGGCGATATACAAATATACGTTTGTTGTTGTTATGGACGAGGTGCAAAAACTGGTGCTCAGTGGACCAGGTGGGGAGCCTGACATGGATTTTATTGGGTTTTACCCTGTGAGACCATTCTGTTTTAAAATTTACGATTCCATCCAGTTGTGTGAAATCCTAATTTCATTCTGAATCTGGAAGCCAGTTCTCCTTTCCATTCAAAAGAACTGTTTTTTCCCTGCAATTCTGCACAGCTTTAAGGCTTAAGACAAAATGGTCTTACAGGCTAAGATTAGTTGGATTTTCAGGGCTAAGAGGTCAAAGGTGATGTCCAGAAGCAGAGACAGTATCTTCCTCACTGTAGTAACACGTTCTCAACAACAACAACTTGCATTTATATAGTGGTCCTCACTCAGGGTGGTTTTCCAGAGCGCTTGACAGTGATGGAGCACGATGTTGAGCCGGGGGGAGGGGGGAAGTGATGGGTCGAAGAGAAAGGACTTAAGATGCCTAATAATTCATTAATAATAATTAATAATAATCTCTTGAGAAACCTTTATTTGCAAACCATGGGGTCAATAATCTGCCATGTGATGATATCACATGTCACAATTTGAGCCCAATGGTGTAACAGCCTGGACTCATTCTACATTGTGTTTGGGGGAATACTTGGCCCATCTCCTCATCTTACACCTCACCTGAGACAGCTAGGAAGTCGTCAACAGATGTGATGTCATCAACGGCCTCTGTCAGAACTCGGACTTGTTTCTCCCATTGGTCTTTGAAGACATCCATGTTATCCTGAGCCACTTTGCTCTGTGGCCGGGCAGCCAGAGTCAGCGCTGCATTAATAACCTACAATACAAAGCACATGTAGTATCAGTACTGCCATCTTTCATGAAGCCCTTGGTAACTTCACACCGAGAAGCTAGTTTATGGTGATGTGCCATGTCAACAAATTACACTTGTTTAGCGCCTTTCACCTTGGAAGGACGTCCTAAGGCACTGGATAGTCAGGGATTTTGATCCACGCAAAGGGTTGGGAACAGGAGGGATGAAGGGAGGGAAAGTAGAAATAGAAGTGCGACCAAAGGTATGGTCGAAGAGGAGGGTCTTGAGACGGCCTTGAAGGAGGCAAGGGAGGGAGAAAGGCGAAGGGACTGTGGGATGTAGTACCAGAAGGTGGGGCTCAACTGCTGGTGTTGGGGTGGACAGGACAGGATACATGATATAATAATAATAATCCTTACATTTGATATAGCACTTTTCACGTCTTTGAGATGTTTCGAGGCGCTTCAAGGATATAATTTAAAGGCAATTGACTGTATATTTGTGGGCAAAACACGGCAGCCAATTGCGCATAGCAGTGTCCCATAAGCAGACGTGGAGCAGGCAGGAGCCTGCTGAGAGGAGGGAGCGGAGAGGTCATTATAGAGTTAGCAAGTCACAAGGCCATGGAAAGGACACTCCAGAGCTCCCCCCACCCCAGCCTTCATGTCGATAGGCTTGCGACAATTGCTTTAAAATTCAAGATCGTGAGGGATTTTGGAAAGCAAAATTTGGAAACTGGTTTGACACAGTCCTGTTTAGTTACTCTGGCTTCAATATGATGTTGTACGGCAATAATAATAATAATCCTTGCATTTGATATAGCGCTTTTCACGTCTTCTAGACGTCTCAAAGCGCTTCACAGAATATACTGTAAAGTGAATTGACTGTATATTTGTGGGCGAACACGGCAGCCAATTGCGCACAGCAATGTCCCACAAACAGTCGTAGATTGAAAATGACCAATTTATTATTGTTTTTTTATTTTGGAAGGATTATTATTAGGCGTGTGGAGCAAGGAAACTTGCCCAAGGTTTCGCCCTGCCTGGAATTGAACTCAGGTCTCTTGCTTGCAAAGCAAGTGCTCTAACCACTGAGCTACAGGACTCCAATGATCGTAAGGCAGAGCCAGTGACTTATCTGGAGCAAGGTTTCCTCCCACTCAGCTCCTGTTAACCCTACAAGCCAAAGCCCTAACTGGTAGGGCGGTCCTAGCTGGACAAGCAGTGGCAGTTTGCCAGAAATTGCTCACTATGGCAAGCTATGCAGTTTTAGGTGGTTAGACTCCAGCAGTTAGTCCAACGGACACTCTGGTGCCCAAGTCTTGGTTCTTGCCAACCTGTGTCAAATTCTCTCCAAACGTAAAGATGTGTCCATCCAGGGAGAGAGTGCGCATTCCATTCCAGAAATTGAAATTTCATGCGTGGCTGGCTACATGTGTGGAAGTTTCAGTTGAGTTTGGATGCTCTTAAGTATGGGAATGTGTTTCCGCAAGTGTTAGACCCGGCTGACTCCAAAATTCTTGGGCCTCAGGTAATGTCACTGTTTGAACCAAAATGTTCTACGTCTGATGTTACACTCAGGAGAACACGTGGTCTGTGTTCCAATATTTGTGGCTGTTGGGAAGACCTTGACAAGTGACAACTGAGTGATGGGTCACAAACAGTAGATGGTGTGAACACTGAATGATTAACCATGCCTTCAGCTGGATGTAGAATGTGGGCATTAGCAGCTGGCAAATCTCTTTGAAGCGGCCTTTTTCATCTGGCAGAATTGCTGTTATTATTGGGAGAGAAGTTGGCACAATATAAAATGCATGGACAAGCCCCCAGTAACAAGCCCACCTTATGACACTGGTGTTTAGATTTCATCAGGTCCATTAAAATCTGCAGTATCTTTATTGCCAGGTACAGGCTAAAAAAAATTTCTTACACAACAATTCACTCAAGGCTTTTCAGAGCATCCTAATATTTTGAGCTCCGTTACTGACAAAAAGCCACCATGGAGCTTAAACCACAGCTGTAATCATGAATTAAACTGTAACGTTGCCCACACCAGATGTATTTATTCCGTGTCCAAAACAAAAGGCATCGACTTTAATGGAGCCAGCGAGAGTCAAATAGCCCACTTGGGTGCCTCAAAGTCTCTCTCTTTAAAAAATAAATGTCGGAAATGTTTCCCTGATCGTGCTAGTGCCCTGTATGTAATTGCTGCCAGCTCTGCTTTACAGGCATTTTATCTTGTTTCGCCCATAAAATAATAATAATAATAATCCTTGCATTTGATATAACGCTTTTCACGTTGGGAGGACGTCCCAAAGCGCTTCACAGATCACACTGTAAAGTGAATTGACTGTATACTTGTGGGCGAACGCGGCAGCCAATTGCGCACAGCAATGTCCCACAAACAGTCGTAGATTGAAAATGACCAATTTATTATTGTTTCTTTTTTTTTTTTGGAGGGATTATTATTAGGCGTGTGGAGTAAGGAAACTTGCCCAAGGTTTCGCCCTGCCTGGAATTGAACTCAGGTCTCTCACTTGCAAAGCGAGTGCTCTAACCACTGAGCTACAGGACTCTACAGTCAATATACAGTCAATTCACTTTACAGTATATTCTGTGAAGCACTTTGAGACATCTTAACGACGTGATAAGGTGCTATATCAAATGAAAGGATTACTATTATTAATTTGCGGAATGGGAAAAGCTTTCATCAGGTGATATCTGATGGAATATTTCACATCTGTACAATATCATCAAGGTCTGAAAACAAAGAGAGCAGTGCAAAGATTGCAGTTTTATCTATTATGAACCGGACATTTTGAAATGTGTTCAGTTTATTTATACATGCTTGTCTTTCTGTTTGTGAGAAGATTAATGCTGTGAATGTAGCCAATGTCAGGAATTTTCAATGCCTCTAAAGGCCCTAATGACTCTTTAACTGAAGAGAAATGCAACAACAATAACAACAACAAAATTGCATTTGTATAGTGCCTTTCACGTCAGGAGGACTTTGCAAGATGCTGTACAGTCAGTGTTTCAGACTCGAGCTGGGGGTCAGGAATGGGTAGGGTGGGGGGGAGGGAAAGGAGGTTGATCAAAAGCATGGTCGAAGAGGACGGTCTTGAGATGCGTCTTGAAGGAGGCAAGGGTGGAGGGACTGCGGGATGGAGTTCCAGAGGATGAGGGCAGAGTGGCTGAAGGCTCTGGTGGGAGCAGGCAGGTTGGTAGGGGCTTGTGAAGATGTAGAGGTAGGGGGGAGCGAGTACATGGAAGGCTTTGAAGGTGAGGACCAGGATCTTGAAATGAGTGATGGGAAGCCAGTGGAGTCGGGCGAGGATGGGGGTGATAGGTTCATGAAGCCTGATGCAGGAGAGGACATGGCTGCAGAGTTTTGGATGATCTGCAGCCTATGGAGGGAGGAGTTGGCGAGGCTGAAAAGCAAGGAGTTTGTATAGTCGAGCCTCGATGTTATGAATGTGTGTATAAGGGTTTCGGCAGCCTGCGGTATGAGACAGTGGCGGAGCCGTGCAACGTTGCGGAGATGGGGGAAAGGCAGAGCGGGTCATGGCACAGATGTGGGGTAGAAAGGATAGTTGAGGATCAAACAAGATGCCAAGGTTCCAGACTGGCTTAGTAAGGTGGAGTGTGCAAGTATAAATGCAAGTTGTTGTTGTGTTGGAGTTGTGTTGTTATCTTGCATACCCATTGTTATGTTGCTGTGAGCTTGCCTCAGGAGACTGTGTTAGAATACTTGGGGGAAAATCACCAGTTTCACCAGAGGAGAAAGGACACTTCATCTGATCAGTGAATAAAACTGCCATGTAAATATATTTCTAGCTGGTGCATCGATCACGACCAAGGCAGCCATTGCAATTCCACGGCCTGGAGAAGATGATTGAATATAAACACGAAGGTGGACAAACATTCAGGTCTCAAAGGATCCTGCATGACTTTTGCCTTGGGGCTCTGCGTGTTGTGTTGTATTATAATTTTAACATTATGCTGCTGAGCTGACAGCCAACAGAACATCATTTAGCATCTTCTAATGAAAAGCTTCTGGTGAAAGATTGAATGAGCAATCGATTGAGGAAAAGAGAGTCTGAGGAACACTTTCACCTGCAGAGTCAAAGACTGGGCGTAGGGAGGACAGTTGGATTCTAATATTTATTAGATACAGGAATCACAGCTATCTGCCACTTGATTGCAACTCCGTCCCTGAGTCCCTCTGATTCGCCCCTTCATCTCAAGACCTACCTCTTTGGCCACCCCTTCGGTCTTCGTTCCCCTCCCTCTGCTTGGCACCCGCCCCACCCGCTTGGGTACCAGGGTTGTTAATAATCCTTGCATTTGACATAGCACCTTATCACGTCGTTGAGGTGTCTCAAAGCGTTTCACAGGTTATTCTGTTAAATGATAAGTCTGCGAATTGTGTGGGTGAAACCCGTTAGCCAGTTGCATTACTAATTATTAATTATCAAGCACCTTGGGACGCCCTCCTGACGTGAAAGGTGCTATATAAATGTAAATGTGTTATTGTTGTGTGTAACAGGCTTCAAAATCAAACACCCAGAAGGAACAAGGGATCTCAGACCTCAAATTCCTTGCAATGAACTGAATGGGATATGGCTCAGCACATTCAGAATTGCACTTGGCTCAGGTTCTGTTTATCACAAATCGACTGTAGAATTTTTAACAGGTCCGATAAACACACAGTTAAAGTTTTCTATTTAACGTTTGACAGGTATTTTGATTCAGCGTGAGATAATAGCATCTTTGTACGTATGAGAAGTATCTAAAGTTTTTTTAAAAAAAAACAGTGTTTTGTGTTTGCTTCCAAAAGCGGGTGATTGGTTTGTGAGCCTCCTGCTGTCATTTACACTGTGCAAGATAATCAGAACAGTATTATATACCTGACACTATAATTTTCATACTGATAGCTTTTTTTGTGTCTCTCTTCAAGTTGCTCTGTGTCTGTGATTGCGTTGCAGTCAATATACAATTTTCAGCATTAGCCTTTCTTACCTGCGGGCAGAGGCTATCGATCTGGGTTGCTGCCATGCGAACCAGTTTCACACCTTCCTCATTATTTGAGATGGAGCAGGCAAGGTTTGCAACCTGTGATTTAGACAGCAAGTGAAAAAGTACATTACCAAGCAAATCTGACACTTCATAATGTGCATCATCTGCAGGGAAATCAAGTAGAAGTCAAGGGGAGCATCAGCCAAACCATCTGCATTATAAATGAGCAATTCTATATCTCATTTGAATCCCAAATGAAGGCAATGTGATAAATAATAATCCTTGCATTTGATATAACTCCTTATTACGTCTTTGAGACGTCTGAAAGCGCTTCACAAAATATAAATTGAATTGACTACATTTTGTGGGCAAAATGCGGCAACCAATTACGCACATCAGTATCCCAAAAATAGTAATAGATTGTATGACCAAATTATTATTATTATTATTTTTTGAAGGGATTATTACCTCCAGAAAAGCAAGTAACAACCAGGTTCATACTTACTGGTAGGTTAACAGAGGCGTGTGGAGGCGAGTGCTCTAACCAATACACTGCAGGATTCCACACTAATTCATAGATAGCAAGCACCCTAGTTTACAATGTTCAAATCCATTCTCCCCCACCCACCCCACCCTCCATAGTGGTGTGTTTTCAAACTCTTAATAAGAGCTTGATAACATCTTCTTCACCTAACTGATTGCAACAAACACTGTTGTGCTTGTAGAAGTGTAAAACAGGCAATGGATACAGAAATTGCTGATTCTTTGAGCAGTGCTGGCATACAGGGACATATCAAAGGAAGCCAGGCATTGGGAGGCACTGACCAGAGATGGATATGAATTAATTGAGCAGATTATCATCATCATGGTCCTATGTCTTCAAACAGCTGAGAACAAGCTGCTCCAAGAAGACCCATGAGAGTGTGATACATACCCTTTGGTGCTCCCAAGGGTGCAATGTCAACAGGCTGATGTGTAGTCACAGACAGATGCTTCAAATAGGAGTAGCGAAGGGCCTAAACAGTCTGGATGCTTAGTTCAACTGGATGCTTAGAACTAGTCTTTGCTTCCAGAACAAGGAAAACCTGCTCCTTGCATCTTTCAGATAATGTCCTGTCTACATGTTCAGATGGATGTCAAAGATCTCATTAAACTGGTCGAAGAACAAAAGCCAGGGAGTTTCATCCCGGGGTCCTGGTCAGCCGTCTTGCAGATTACTTGGTCATTAACCTCATGTCTGTTTGTGGGACATGTCTGTTGTGATTTCTGGCCAAAACAGTCACTACATTTTGTTTTGAGATGTTCACATAGATTTACACAGAATGTACAGGACTGAAGCAGGCTTTTCGGCCCTACTAGTCCATGCTGGTGTTTATACTCCACGTGATCCAATCCTTCCATCTTGCCCCTCCTTTGCCTTTTTTAGATCACGACTGAAGACCTTCCCCTTCGACCGTGCTTACGGTCAACTTCTCCCTTGTCCCAGCTCGGCGTCAGGCTGTCACTGTTAAGCGCTCCGAGACACTGCCCCACGTGAAATGCACGATATAAATGCGAGTTGTTGTTGTTACATCCTTACTCCCTCCGCCTTTTCCCTTCTCTCTCATGTGTATATAGGAACGGAGGAACAGGAGTAGGCCATTCAGTCCCCTGAGCCTGTTCTGCCATTCTATTAGATCATGGCTGATCTGTACCTCAACTCCATTTACCTGCCTTTGCTCCATATCCCATTGAAGCACACCGGGACGCTACCCTGCGTGAAGGGCGCTTTATAAATGCAAGTTATTGTTGTTGTTGTTGTTGTATCCCTTGATACCCTTATCTAAACAAAAATCTATCCACCTGAGTCTTGAAAATTTAATTGGATCCAGCATTCGGATGAAACCAGTTATTACCTAGCTTCCTCTTAAATGCATCTATATAAATGTTTTAGTCCATTTATATAAATGTTTTAGTCTAATAAGGCACCATAAAAAATGCAAGCTCTTCCTTTGGTTAATTTTGCCAAATCCATCAGCTGTTGGCATTGCAGCAAGACCTCGTAATTGTTCCCTTTAAAACACAGGATACTGCAATGCAACACCAGACCATTTGGCCCAGCAAATCTGTTAAGTATTTTTCTCCATTTTAGTCAATCTGATCCCACTCTGAAGCACTTTGAGATGTTCTCCCAATGTCAGTCTTCGCCTCTGTGAAGCGCTCCGGGGCACTACCCCGCGTGAAGGACGCTACATAAATAATAATAATAATAATAATCCTTGCATTTGATATAGCGCTTTTCACGTCGGGAGGACGTCCCGAAGCGCTTCACAGAACACACTGTAAAGTGAATTGACTGTATATTTGTGGGCGAACGCGGCAGCCAATTGCGCACAGCAATGTCCCACAAACAGTCGTAGATTGAAAATGACCAATTTATTATTGTGTTTGGTTTTGGAGGGATTATTATTAGGTGTGTGGAGTAAGGAAACTTGCCCAAGGTTTCGCCCTCTGCCTGGAATTGAACTCAGGTCTCTTCACTTGCAAAGCGAGTGCTCTAACCACTGAGTTACAGGACTCCTTGTTGTTGTTGAGATGTGAAAAGGTGCTTTGTGTGACTGCCTGGTACTGTGGTAACACTCTCTCCTCTAACTCGGAAGTTGTGGATTCAAACCCCATTTGGGACTTGGAATCACATGGTCTAAGTTGACACTCTGATGCAGTGTTGGGGATGTGTTGTATTGTCAGAAGTGTTGTCCTTCGGATGAGACCTTAAACCAAGGTCTCGTCTGCCTGTTCAGGTGGACGTTAAAGATCTCATGGCACTATTTGAAAAGAGGAGTTTCTCCCAGTGTCCTGGTTGACAATCCCCCAAATAAAATTGGCCACTCGCTCCATGGCTGTTTGTGGGACATCACTGTGCGCAACTGGCTGCTGTGTTTCGTTTACAAAATACTCACCCATTCCACTTTACAGTATGTCCCGTGAAGCACTTTTTGTTATTAACTTGAATTTGTACCCTCTTGTTACTGTGATTTTTTAAATTAAAAAGGCATCACCTCCTGCCTCAATTTTTCCAATGCCCTCCTTTCCAAAACACTACCGCCCATATTCTCACATGTCCCATACTCCACATCACTGTAACCCCAGTCCTTGCCAAGCTCCACTGACACTCTCGTGCAGAATGGATTGATTTCAAGATCCTCACTCTTATTTACAAATCAATTAATGTCCTAACACCTCCCTACCTCTCTGACGTGCTTAAACCCCACTTCATGATCTGCGCCTTTGCTCAACCCTTCTACACACCCCTTGTCCTCTCCACCATAACTGGCTGTACACAAACACCACTCCGCTACCCCCCACTACACATCTGTACTCCCACAGTGAGCTTGTGGCCCTGGGTCTCTTGCACTGTTTACTCAACATGGTTACCGTGGAGCAGCTGCAGACACGCACACGCAGGAAATGGGCTTCTCTCCAATCGGAGGCCCTTCTGTTGTGATTGTCTGTGTGTCTCTCCCTCTCTGTGTCTCTCCCTCTCTGTGTCTGTGAGTGTGTCTCTCCCTCTCTGTGTCTGTGAGTGTGGGTGTCTCACCCTCTGTGTCTGTGAGTGTGTTTCTCCCTCTCAGTGTGTGTGTGAGTGTCTCTCCCTCTCTGTGTCTGTGAGTGTGTGTTTTTCCCTCTGTCTGTGAGTGTGTCTCTCCCTCTCTGTGCCTGTGAGTGTGGGTGTCTCACCCTCTGTGTCTGTGAGTGTGTTTCTCCCTCTGTGTCTGTGAGTGTGTGTTTTTCCCTCTGTGTCTGTGAGTGTGTGTTTTTCCCTCTGTGTCTGTGAGTGTGTCTCTCCCTCTCTGTGCCTGTGAGTGTGTGTGTCTCACCCTCTGTGTCTGTGTGGGTGTCTCTCCCTCTCTGTGTCTGTGAGTGTGTGTGTCTCACCCTCTGTGTCTGTGTGGGTGTCTCTCCCTCTGTGTCTGTGAGTGTGTTTCTCCCTCTCGGTGTGTATGTGTCTCCCTCTCTGTGCCTGTGAGTGTGTGTGTCTCTCCCTCTGTGTCTGTGAGTGTGTTTCTCCCTCTCTGTGTCTGTGTGTGTGTCTCTCCCTCTCTGTATCTATGAGTGTGTGTCTCCCTCTCTGTGTCTGTGTCTCTCCCTCTCTGTGTCTGTGAGTGTGTGTCTCCCTCTCTGTGTCTGTGTGGGTGTCTCTCCCTCTCTGTGTCTGTGTGGGTGTCTCTCCCTCTCTGTATCTGTGAGTGTGTTTCTCCCTCTCTGTGCCTGTGAGTGTGTGTGTCTCACCCTCTGTGTCTGTGTGGGTGTCTCTCCCTCTCTGTATCTGTGAGTGTGTGTCTCCCTCTCTGTGTCTGTGTGGGTGTCTCGCCCTCTCTGTATCTGTGAGTGTGTGTCTCCCTCTCTGTGTCTGTGAGTGTGTCTCTCCCTCTCTGTGTCTGTGAGTGTGTCTCTTCCTGTGTCTGTGTGATGTGAGTGTGTCTCTCCCTCTCTGTGTCTGTGTGTATGTCTCTTCCTCTGCGTCTGTGAGTGTGTCTCTCCTCTCTGTGTCTGTGAGTGTGTGTCTCTCCCTCTCTGTGTCTGCCTATCTCTCTCTGGAGCCCCTCAGTCAGGATTAATTATCCACCCCACAAGTGGGCCACCCAGGTTTGTTAAAGAAAGCATTGCTAGTTTTTTGCAACAATCTAATATGGGTTATTTCTTCATGTTTAGTTTCTATCACTAAAGTGCAAAAAATGTAGGTTTGCAGTAAAATGTACCTCTCAATATAAACAAACAACCCCCACAATCCCCCACAAGAATTGCCAAATGTACCCGCAATTTTTGCAAATACATCCGAAATTTTCTATTGGTCTAGGCTTTGAGGAAGATTGCTAGAGGCTAGGATGCTGGACTCATTTAAGAAACAGTATTGTTTAAGCAGCTGGTAACCACAAAATATAGGAAAGGAGATCGAACCGAGCTTAACAACAACAAAATTACATTTGTATAGCACCTTTGAAAAGGTGAAAAAACCTCTTCACGGTGAGGGTGGTGAGAATGTGGAACTCACTGCCACAAGCTTTGATTGAAGCAAAAAGTACTAAAGCATTTAAGAGGATGCTTGACTCATA